TAAGAAGGAGGCCCTTGGAAATTTGGCAAAAATAATTTCCGACTTCGCCGGGATTCGAATCCACGAACCTCGGATTTGTACTAACGATGCTCTACCAGCTGAGCTACAAGGTGACTGGGAGCAGGTTGTGGTAAAATAGATGTTAGGTTGCGGTAATTAGAATGTAAAGATTATGTATGTATGGACCGCATGATACTATAGGATGTCGGTAATTAATTTTTCCAAATTTATTTCCAAGGTTCTTTCTCCCGGAGTGGCCTCCTTCCTAGCACTACAACACTGCATTTAGTCTCATGTAAAAGTCCGCCAACCGAACGATCATTTAATTCAAGGTGTTCGACAGCCGATCATCTAGAGCGACTTTGCTACASATTGTTAGTTTGAGTTTTATTTTCGATCAGAAACTAGAAAATAAATGAAATCTACCTTTGAAGCATGTAGAATTCAAAGCGCACTTTTCCCAAACAAGAAAATGCGTCTCACCTGCGCCGAAAACCTCGATATAGCACGTGGGTAATATGGTTTGATTTAAATAAGCCCCAATCCCCTATCGGTCACTGTATTTTTCAATTTGGCGGATAACAAAGCCACAAAGGAGCAGTGATATTTTTAACCAGCCAGCTTAAATTTGCATGGATTTGAGACGAAACATGAAACTCAAGAATAATTTAACTSCCTCCCTTTTATTGTATTTGATCTTTGACTTTTTCAGTCGCCGCAAACCCGACTGAATCTAAAAGTCGTATTCAAAACTGTTACAAAAATGAATAGATTTACTGGCTCTTTAATATAGAATAGCATACTCCTGGGTACGAGGTTATAGTAGCATACTATTTTGTTTTTCTTTTAGCGGAAGGATTTGTTACATCTAAAAAATTATGTAAGATATTGGCTCTTCTAATTAAGGGTATCACTTCTCAACAGTTGCTCTCTCATCATATGTAAACAGAGCTTTATAAGCGCTGCCTCATGTTAACCTCGTCGTATAACTATGGGCCTAAGTTTYTACTTGATTACTAGGCCTTTTGCATGGTACTAAATCCGCCTTGCTGGATGGCAAAATACATACTGGGATGTTCAGAACAGAGAAATGTCAAGCTTGACGGGCTGCGTTTCTTTTGTTTTTGAGGTTGTTTACATTTCTATATTCTTTTGCCATATAATATGGAGGATTTAGTTTCAAGCAAAAGGCCTATGACAGCTATGTCACGAAAACAAGTCCTATTCATCGACCGTGCAAATGACTCGTCTATATCCCATCTCACCCGGAACGGACCAATCGCTCAAATACGAGTTCTTGAATTGTTCAGCAGTTCAGGTCTCATATWAATGAATGGACGATTATGCTAAAGATATTGTTGTGCGATTACAACGATATGTGGGCACAGACAAGGAACCGCAATAGACTCGCCTATAGTCAGAGCAATGAAAACAGATCAACGAAAACATCAGCTCCAGATTCATTAACTTCTATCAACGAAACCGAAAAGGTCTTACCTCAGATACAGTACTGTGAAATGGTCCATCGAATACATACTCCTTGCAATCGGAGCAACACTTTTTATCCTCACATGTTACATTAGGAGTAACACAATGAAAGTATGGAGTACTGAACCCAAAAACCAGAGCATCAAACTGCATAGCTATTGGAAATAACATCATATGAACCGAAAAGAATACAATCTTTTGATATCTTCCAAATGAATTCAAGAGCAGAAATATGTCATCAAATTCTTGCATCTCTTCAGTGTCTAGTTTATCTCTGTCAGGCATCTCGAGAGCGTTATATAGTTTTGTTTCAACTAATAAGCGACGTGTAAGTCCTGTGTATATACTGCTAGCTTCATATTCATTCAAATG